CTGACTTGGTTTACTGTAAGAAATATTGTAACTCGCGTACAGTGTAGTGTATTTTCCAAAACACCTAATATTGTATTATGAAAGGGGCAGTATCGTAACAYGGTCACTGAAGCTCCTAAGCTTCATGTTGAAATGGTTAAAAAGGGGAAGCTGTGTGTGTTTCAGATTAAAAAAAAGTCAATTTGTAAAACCAAATGTATTTCTTTTCTGGTGACTAGAAATAAAGCAAATATTTCTAAGTTTCTTTTTTCTAGCTAAATTATGGGAAAGTACATATGAGTCAATTAACTCTTGATTAACAGCAAAAATTACCATTAACAAGATAATTGCCTGTAAAAGAAGCAATGCTTCTAAATGAAACTCAATGTGCCAAAGGTTCGAGAATTTTCTAAATGTTTCTATACTGTTTTACAGTATATTTTTCTTAATTGAAGGACTTGAAGAAAGGGGAGCAGGGAAAGCTCTTGATGTCCATAATGAATGGGGAAGGTCTCCCAGTTCGGTGCTTGGACCAGCCAAAGATGGTAACTTGATGATGATGATGATGATAATAATAAAAAACATAAGCAAAGCATATGAAAATATATCTTAAATGCTGGTGACCRGTTCAGTAAAGCAGAAGTCTGTTTACCATATTGTATTCTGATCACTTCTCAGAGATGGTGAGTTCTCAAATTCAATTTTGGCTTGTAGATCTGCACAAGAAAAGCCCTTTTTGTTGATTCTGTACAATTTCATGCTTGTTTCACAGATCTGATGTTTGTGGAATGATGCTCAAATGCTCTTTACAACGCAGCTTTTGAACGTACAAAACTCCGTAACTTCAAATCCTTTTTTAGRAATTTATGTACAGAAGATGTAATAACGAACTCCGCAGTCAGATCATTTAATATTGTTTAGAAAGTTTATCCAGTATCATTAACTGATCTGGAAGTAAAGCAGTATTTTCTTTCAGGTCCTGCTAGTACTCTTTTGCTTAGTAAATACATAGCTGATAGACAGAAACAAGCACTTTTCACAAGTAAGTGAAAACAGATGCATTACTTAAGAAAGGAATGCAGTTCTTGAGTTAGAGTCAGAATCATCTCTTGCGTACTTCAGATTCAATACTATGCAATATATTTGTCCTTGTGCATTGCGTACAGATTGCGTACAGTCTTTGTAGATGACGGCRTATGAGAATATATTTTTCATTTTTGAGATAACACATAAGCTTTTATAGAACGTCAGTACAAATACTGCAAGAATTATTACCATTCATTAATAACTGTCCATCCAAAGTAATAATGATTCAGTCCCTACACCTTAAAACATCTCAATTGATGGTACTTAAAGAAGAAATATGTTTCAACATGATCAAGGATTTTTGGTTTCCAGAAAAAGGTCACAAAGAGAAAAGAATTATATTCAGAATATCCCCAACCACTGCACTTCTATCAGGGATGTCTGTTCCATAGTCTGCTGAGCTGGTTCCACATGAAGGTCTGTTCTTAGGTTTAAAGGCTGACTGCTGCCACAGACTTATTTGTCTTTTGGTATGCCCAAACACTACAAATAAATTACCTATATTCCATATGCTATAATCCATCTGAACACATATCGTTTTCAGCTGTTTTGAATAAGAAAGACTAATAAGAAAATGTGATCTGTTTCTTTGGCACAGTTGCTTTGGACAAGGACTCRTATCTCACAGCATCTTAGTATGTACTAAGAAATAAATTCAAGTCAGAATTTGGTTATCTCAGTGTCTTAAAACTGGAAAAAAAATGCAGTTACTTGAGTAAAATCTCCATGTTCCAAATGGTAACGGTGGCATTAATTCTGATAGATTTGTTTATTTGTGAATAAAGATTTGTTTATTTGTGAATAAAGATTTGTTTATTTGTGAATAAAGATTTGCCAGCCTTTTAGGAATATTTGAAAACCTGTTGAAAAACTGTTTTTATATATATATATTTTTATATATGTATATAAAATATCTCAAGAATAGCAGATAACAGTAGTTACAAGACTGGAATTTAAACTTGGTCATGTTTCTCAGCTTTATATCAACCTTCTAATCCCCTCAAATTATCTCATAGTCTTGATAGGTTTTGTTCTCCCCTCCCCMAAAAAAGTCTCTTCTACATTTTATTGTTAAATAGATCCCATTTAAACTTGGAAGGTCAAAGAAGAAAGTTCATTTTCAGGCACATAACTGTGCAATCGATCTAGGGTTTTGGCATTTGCTTTCCTGCCCCTACTGCTAGACATCGAATTACGTGAAATAGTGGCTCGTACGTCATCCGAATGCTAAAACATAACTCACTTTCGAAAGACTTYGCAGCTTTACAGATGGTATTTGCAGTAATGACCTGAGGCATAAATGCACTTCAGGGAAAAGAATATATTCTCATGAAGCGATACCCAGCTTAAATCTGCAGCAATTGCAGACCAAACTCTTTTGCTGTGCATACAAGAGCAGATCAAAACCAGAAGCTGGACCCACGTAACTGATTTTCTGCCTATTGTGTTTGTCCATTAAGCAGATGGAGCTCACACTTCCCATGCTGTTCCATTCATGCAGCCCCGCGTTCATTCACCAGCAAAACGTTTCCTTTAGTTGATGGATTAAAGGCGGGAGTGGGGGGAGGAGTGTGAAACGTTCAGGGATGTACAATGCATTGGAACAAAGTTTAAGGGTTGTCACGCTCAAAACTTGTGACACAATTAAAATTAAAAGGAAAGAAAATCCAGCTTCAAAAGACAACTTGTCCTGCCTCTTGACTGAGGCATAAGGCAGAGCTCTGTGCAGTTGCTTCAGTCTTAATGTTTTGTTGTTTTTCAAAAAAAACCCAAAAACTATTAGATTTCAGTAAGATATATATAAAGGGAATAACTTTTTTTTTTTTTTTTTTACCAGACCTTCTCTGTTCTTCCTTTGTATTTTGATTAACTGAAATATGAACCTAGCTGTGTGCTTTATTGACTGAAAGAAAGCCTAGCAAGTAAACCCACTAAACAACTTTAAAGGTTATTGTTTCCTTTTCATCTTCACTTAGCAGGCCAGGTGTCACTAGCACAGCAAAACTGAGGAAAAGCTACTTTTGTTGGGAGCCTCTTTGTGACCTAACAAATGACATAAAGGGCAGGTGTTAAAATAGTGTATGAGGCCAACACTGGTTATCCTACAGGATGTTTAGTTGTCCAATGTGTTAAAGAAAAAAAGTGCATTTTATTTGGAAATCTTGTCCCAAATAAAAGAAATCTATCCGTCTTGTAGGGGAAAAAAAAAAAAAAATCTACTTTTTGATCCCCCAAAGAATGCTTTAGATTTACTGAGCCTACTCCTCTTGTAACTGATTTCCCAGGGACTGGCAGGAAAAAGGGCAGTTTTTACTAAATAAGGAGGCTGGAATTTGCTTACTATTTTCTGTTTACCTGATGTCACTTACGATATTGTGTTTGCCTACTTAAGYGGTATTTAGCACTGGAGCCTTCTGTGCAATTTCTACTATTTATGTTAGGAAACTGCTTACCAGCTGGGCAGATTAGACTGTTTTACTTTATGTGTTTTTCATCCTGCATTGCACAGCTGTTACCACTACTCTTAACATCACAATAGTGAGCGCTGCTGAATCAGTAAGTGGAAAGATAGGTGGGTATGTGGAGTTAGGTGTCCTTGCTTGGGAAATAAGAAAAAGAGCTACCAGGCTGATGGTTTACCTAATGTTYGAGATTGTGGGTGTCTGAATTAAGCATCCTCAGCCCATAAGGATGACTAAAGAGAGGCTCATGCTGAAGCCTTCATGTGTATACGCTTTGGATTTAAGCCTCAAAGCTTATTTTCAGGTGATGAAGACTCTCTGCTTTCTGCTTTACACACACACAGTTGCTAGACAGTTTCTTACCCTATACCACACTTTCTGTAACGCAGCCGCTGATGAGAGACGGAAACCCTGGTGCAAAATGATTTTTTGACAATCACTTAGAATTAAGAAGTGTCCACTTATATTGTGGACAAATTAGGAATATTCTCCACTGACTTCTCCTTATGAAAGGAAACCTTATGACAACTTTATAGCAGATGAAGACTTATTTGTTGTTATTTTATCAGTTGCTCAGTTCAATCCCCAAAAGATTTATTGCTTAGAACAGAGATAATGTGGTAGGAGACACAGACACAAGATTAATTTTACTGTGCAACTAAATTCTCCTGTGGCACTTCCACAGATAATAGTGAAATAGAAGTTTAATGAATCAAAATATATTGAACTACATAAATTTTATAAGCAAGTGAGATTTAGTAAAAATGTGGAATATTGATCAGTTTATTTTCCAGCAGTATTAWGAACTGATACTGTATAAGTTTTTCTACTGTTTCAGGTATAATTTTATAAGCATTGCCACTATGGGAATAACCATGTCATTTTCCTATAGTTACAATGCAGCTGCATTGAAGGCAGCTGAAACGGCCTTTCCCATTTTTCCCCCCCCTTTAATGTTCACTATTTGGGTGGGAATATTACAGGATGCGGAGGATTTCCGTTAATGAACTTTCTTGAAATTCTGTCGCTTCGCTCGGCTCRGCGCCGCACGCCGGGCCGGCAGCCTCTGCTCCGCACCTCTGGTTCCTCCCAGCTGCACCTCGTGTGTGCTGCTTTCCTGCACACTAATCTTAAAATAGGTTCCACTCATGAAAAAACACGCCTCAAATGAAGACACGGTCCACAGGGTTTAAATGGAGACAAACTAGCCGCTGTGGGCGAGCTGTGAGGCGTCCGCAGCCTCCGCGTGGGCTCGGGGCGATCACCGGTGTGGGGTAATGATAAACCCTAGCGAGCGGGGCAGCCTCCTTTGCCCCCAGAGCCTCGAGTGCTGCGTCCGCGCTCCAAAACAASTGCCAGGTCAGACACCCAGCCCAGATCGGGCACTTTGTGGACTTAGAAAGTCTCAGACAAGAAAAAATAAAAAGAAAGAGAGAGCGAGCAGGCTATGGAGCGGTAATAAGGCTCTCCTACCTTCATGAGCCACTGCGTGTTGTTCTCCATGATGTTCTCCAGCAGCTGCAGCCTCTGCACGGAGTCGTCGTAGTCGAGCGGCGCGTCCCTCTGCACGGCGTTGGGCACGAAGGGGCCCGAGCGGCAGCTGTCGGTCTCGGGCAGCAGGAAGGTGTAGCTGCACGAGCCGTGCTGCACCTGGTACTGCTTCTTGCCCAGGGCCTCCACGCTCTTGCTGAAGGAGCCGTAGCCGCAGGCGAGCAGCAGGTTGCAGCTCAGCGCCAGGCAGACGCTCAGCCGCATCCTGGGGCCGCGGGCGGCGCCGCGGGCGCGGGCGCCGGGCGGGTGGGCGAGCGAGCGAGGCAGCCCCGGGCGAGCCGCGGTGCCGCTCAGGGCCGGGCTGCCATGCGTGCGGCCGCCCCCGCGGGACAGCGGGACACTGCCCTCAGCACCGGGAGCGATCGCGCGCCTTCCTTATAAGATAAGTTGATGAGAGCAGCGCACACATGTGCCCGCGGCCGCTCCTCCTCCGCCGCCGGCCTCCCGGGCGGCGCAGCCGCAGCCGCGCTCCGCCCGCACGGGATGCGGGGCGGGGCCGCCGGGATGCGGGGCGGGGCCGCCGGGATGCGGGGCGGGCCGGGATGCGGAGCGGGCCGGGTCCCCCGCGCGCCCCTCAGCGCCGCGGGGCGCAAGAGAAGCCCTAAAAACAGACCCCCCCCCCCCCCCCCCCCGCGCCTGTTGTTTCCTGGGTTCCTTCCAAAGGAAGCCGTGTTCTCAACCCGCAGACCCTCGTGAAGCTCCAGTTCTGGTCCCGGAATTGCAGAGCACGGGCAGGTTGGGACATGCCCCAGCGCCAAGTGAATTCTGAGTGGAACGTGTCCCGTCGGAGGCCAGCGCTGAGCTGGGCATCACTCTTCACACGTGTGGAGACTCCCGGGAGATGGAAGCTCTCAAGCTCTTCTTTATTATTACTGTTTTCCCTCTATACGAACAGGCTAACTTTAAAGGGGATAACATTAARAAGAGTCACTAATAAAAGTCAGATAGGGCTGGACAAGGGAATAGCTTTCCAGAGTGGCTCTCTTCAGCCAGGGATGTGGGTGCATGCTCCTTGCGTTATCAGTTTAGTTTACGTTAGCCCATGTTGGGTCCTCAAAAGTGGGAAATACCTGTGAAAAGTGAGGAGAAATCTAATAAAGCAAGAATTTGATACATATATAAAGAACAAAAGGGAAGCTCTGCCCCTTCGCACTCCCATGCTCTCTGCAGCATTCAGGGAACTTGAAAAGGCAGAAAGTTGCTAGCCAACTTACCAAACTTTGGGGAAGAATTTGTTCCACTGAAATTTTGGAAACGTTTAGTTTTCTGTTGCAGAAAGTATCTTCTGGCAACCAGCGTGTTTGGAAACTGATTCCTGAAGAGAAACTATGCTGGAGTTTTGCTAGGTCAGGCCATAGGTTTTCTTAATTAAAATAGTCAGATGAACATGAATTAGAGATCAAATGTTCTCTTATCCAAGGAAAATTCCAGTGTGCTTCGGAATCTCTTAAAACAGAGTTTCTTATATATCTTTCTGTATCTAATAGTCTGTTAATGTAGTTTTTAGGTTTTGTAATGTAAAAGTTATGTAAAGGGGTTGTCAGAAATAGTTGTAGCAGCTAATATTCATGTTGTACCTTGTTGGTAGTTATTTGGATTTCTTTACATAATTCTCTCTGTTACCTCTCAAGGGAGCAATCTCCAGAGTTTAATTCTGGACGCTCCAAAAAACTCAAATTATATTTGGACTGTGACCCATGAAACCAATTTGTCAGATTTGCTTCCTGTGGAAGGTTCATTCGCCATTGTTCATCCTTCCAGTCAGAGGAAATGGAGGAATATGTTTGGAACTTGGGATGCAGTCGGGAATATTTTCTACAAACTGTACATATATGGAGGGTTTGGCATGTATTTGCATTCCCCATCCATTCAGCTTTCTGTTGCAATGACTCTTGGCTACTGCGAAGCTAATGAATGTGACARCTACCAGAGCTGTGAAGGAAACCTCAACTTTTCTGTATGGTTATGTCTACTTTCACATATATTGAAATCTTGGAAAGTTCATTTCCATGTGAATAACTAATTTTGTAAGGTATTTGAGGAACCTGCTATTAGGCAGTGAAAGCAGCATGTAGGATTAGATTTGCATGCTAGGCGGTTGTTCTGGATGGGTTCGGGGCTCAGCAATTGAAAGCACACGCACTGAGAGCAAAATCCACCCCTTAGTTTATTTAGGACAATTCACACTAACAGCGGTGAAGCATTTCTATTCTTTGAAATTCATTATTTTCTTTAATTTTGAATACTTCCTGTTAAAAAATGCTAAGCTGTATGATTATTTACCATTATTGCTCGTCCTTAAATGTAGGACTCCAAATAGAGTAGTGCAGAAAATAAAACTGCTCCAGCCCTGAAAGCATCCTTCACCAAAAGAGGAAGAACKGGAAAATAATCTCATTGATATTCTTAGGTTATGTCTTCATGGATTTTTTAAATCCTTTGTTATTTATTGAAGGAAAAAGTAGGACTGACCATCGTTTTATTTTAGAAGTTTTCTTTTTAATTACTCGACCTCTGTGCAAGGGCTGTGCATACGTAAAAGTAGGGGAAATTGTTGACTGGGAAATTGTCAGACAGGATTTCCATGAGGGGCTGGAGTAGCTCCACGGTTTCTYGATCGCTGTGGAGCTTACATCCGTATACCACACTGGTGAGTCAGATCACCAGCGTAATTCCAGCTCAGTTTCACGGGGTTTTTGAGGAAAGACTAGAGTGTCTCCAACGGTTTGAAGTGGAATCTCTTTTCCTTTAGGAAGGGCCAGTACATGACCCGGGAAGGCCCTCGGGCAGCRGAGGCGCCAGGACCGGAGCTGCTCTTGGAGGCTGCCCGACGGTGCTTGCTGCTGTATCTTGGACTTCCACTAGGGAGAACTGTGGTTGTAGGAATACTGGGAGGAGAAAGCGCTTCACCTTGTGCTACTCTTCCTTTTCCTTGGATGGGGCTGCACAGGTGGCAGTTAGGGGAGGTGCAGGTACCRTGTGAACCCTGGCTGGGGCCTGCGGGGAGGCCGGGGCCTCTAACCGGGCCCTGCRCTGCGCTCGTGGTCCAGCGCTCCGCAGGTCCCGTGGGAATGCTTTTCCCAACTTTTCCGTGACACCTCCTGGCTGTGGTGGCCGCAGCTTCACGCGCCGCTACCTGTGCAGGAATCCTCTGGTGGTCCCGTCTGCACCTCGTGGACTCGCATGGCTCCAGTGCGGGACTCCTTCCCGCTGCCCGGGCGAGTGAGCCGGAGCCTTCCCCTTGCCAGCAAAATAAACACACGTCGCTCGAGCCCCACGCTGCGGGACAGCGCCGCGTTTGGTGCGTCCTTCTGGAGCGCTGCTTTGTGATCCCTCACCCTTCCCAGCCCCTTGGGAGCAGCTTTCCCAGCTGTGGAGGAGGAAGTGGCCTTCTGGGCCTCCCCCGGGAGCCAGAGCCAGGCAGAGTTCAGGGGGAAAGAAAGGAGCGAGGGCTAAATTTGGAAAGCGAGTGTGAAGAGTAAAGCGAGTTAAATACTTTTTTGTCCTTGAGGACTGAGGAGGAAGGAAGATGCTCRAATACGGATGATGCCTCTTTACTGAGCCTCAAAGACATGAGGACAAGTGTTTTTGTGGGGCAGGACTCATCCCAGCAGAGCTGAGCGACAGGGAAGATCTGTCTACTGTCAGTTAGGAGGGGAAACGTCTCCTTGTTAGACATATGGAGTAGGAAGGAATGTAAATAATTTGGCATGGAATCTTATACATACCAGTATGAAGTTCAATTGAAAGTTATAATTTAGTTCCTTCCTAGCACTTTTTTAATCTTAATCGTTCATCTTTTATTTGTGCTTCAGAGAGGGAGCAGCACGTCTGTATTCATGATACATTTGTCCTGCAGACTGAAGTATTGGTGCTTAGACTGTGGTTTCCCGCTTGCTCTATAGCTGTGTATAAAGTGTCTGACATAAAATAGCAAATAGTGGCTTGGTATATTTAAAGTACAAATGAGATCTTTCCCTTTTTAAGAAAGAAGATATTCACTCAACAGAATTCACCTTATTAGAAGGATTGAAATGTATATTTTGTCAAAGCTAAACATTTAGAACGTTTTGCCAGATGTTTCAGGCAATTTCCTTTCCTGGGAAACAGTAATTTCCCTTACTCAGCCAATCTTGTTTTTATTCCATGCAGCATATGACTAAGCTGCTTTGGGAGAAGATGCCTGAATACCACTAACATTATCTTTCCAATTATCATTTTACTTGCATTTACATTTTACAGCTGCACAGCTTCTGTTTGACAGGCTAATAACAGAGGCTCTTTTGTGAGACTTTTGATAGAAAAGGAAACCTGAGTTTTTGGGGTAATGTAGACTAAAGCCAAGTCAACATTTTCTTGTATCTGCAGACTTAGCCATCTAAAACTTCTGAGGTGTTAGATAAGCAAGTTCTTGTTTCAGCAGTTCTTATGTTTTTGCAATGAAGAAAAATACATAATGGAAATCTGCAAAATATTGGTATAACAATGAGAAAAAGTTTTTATGCATTATACTTTTATATATATAATATATATCAAAATGCCGTCTTATGAGAACATGGAACTTCAAAATCAAAATTGACATTAAAAATTATCTAAAACTTTGATATAAAATGATTACAGTGTTTTATATCTTCCTGGTATTTACATTCCTCACATTTTGACACCCTTATATTAAGTCCACACCTAATATTAATTAGTTTATAGTAGTTCCATTTGCTGGCTCCAGAATATTTTCTTTCACTGGGATTTTTTTAGCATGTTTCTCAGGAACAAATGTCAACAAGGACAAGACTCCTGAACTCACAGCTTAAAAAAAMCAGTAACTAGGATCTTGAACCCAGATAGATTTTTAGTCTGCTGAAATTCTTATCTGTTCTGAGATCTTACACTCCCCTTAGGAGAAAGGAATGCCAGATTATTACGTTTTCCAATAAGGCAAAAATAATTGTTTTCTTGAAAACACATAAATGGGTTAGTTCCTCAGCTTTTCAGAGATGAACGGTAGTACATATGCTCATATAGTATGCTCATCATCTTAGTATCTGAATTAGTATATACACTTAAATGAAATATTCACTCTAAATTTGCTAAAATAAAAGCATTATACAAGAGAGACTTATTCCAAAATAAATTATTCTGTGTGTCTCGGTAGTTTTTTTTTTTTTTTTTTTTTAATATAATCGCTTTCAGAAATTACTTGCAAA